AAGCCTTAAGGTAAGAGATCACGCGTGAAGGTTGGAAGNNGCCTTGGCGCCGTGGTCCACCGCGCGAGCAACAGGTAGGAATCCTCCCGGGACCGTCAGGTGGCACTGACGGCACGGGGGGAACCAGGCCTGGGTAATTTTGCCGCTTTCTGTCGTATTGAACAGTAAAGCGATTTCATGTAGTGGCTCTATGGATTTATAAGCATAATACTGACAGATTATGACTTGACGTCATAACCGAATTCTTCGCAGCCGAGAGCGAAGAGTCCGTGAAGCGGAAGAATAACGAAGCACTAGTGCCTGTTAGGCGAAGTCGTGGAAAGTCTGTGGTGTTTATAACACAGTCAACTGCGATGGAGACGACGGAGGGCAGCCTGCGGGAGCTTGCCTACCGTATGCCTGACTCTGTGCCGAGAGCTTGCATAGCCTACACGACGTATCCATCTAGCGAAGGCGTCGAGAGTTTCTAACGCTTCTAATGCAACGGAGGTGGGCTGGTGCTGAGGCTGGGGCTGGCTGGGGCTGGGCTGGGCTGAGGCAGGCTAGTAGGCTCCAGGCACAGGCTCGCAGCTTCAAACATCCCACCTGCGATTGCTTGCTTGTCGTGGCGAGTTCCGTGTAAAAGTGCCTCAGTTTGCTAGCACAACAGACGTAGTACAGAGAGTGTGGCCGCCAGCTGCCGGTTCCAGCAACACCGCTGCCTCTTCTCGTGCTTCAACTTCGCATACGACATGGCCAACTCTTCGCTGGGCCTTTTCGAGGCATCCGCTGTGGAGCAGCCGGCGACTGATGAGCGCCGTGTGAAGCTCTTTCCCTGGGACTCGCTCTCCAGCCAACTCTACGAGCCGTGGGGGGAGAGCTCCCTGGACGACCTCAGTCTGCAGCAGATCTACAGTGCGGCAAGTAAGGGAAATAAAAAGACTCGGTACCACAGTCACTTGTGCGCCGACATCGCCACCGATGCGTGGCATGTCGGCGCCGGCATATCCAGACGTGCGAAATTCTTCTGCTCGGCATCAAGAACTGGCAGACCCAGGACATGGGGCGCTTGGTCAAGCCCGAGCTCTATGCCAAGGTGAACGAGGAGATTGCGACATTGGCGCCAGCGCTGAAAGTCTTGCATGTTGGCAAAGGCTCTCAGGAAAGCCGTGACACAGGTACGCTTCGCCAGGCCAAGAAACAAAAGGTCGCCGCTGCTGTATAGCTGCGACATCAAGTCATTGAGGCGGCGAAAGTGTTCCACAAGTGGCTGGCACAGGAGCAGAGTGCCTTCCGCTCCGTCCTGTTCATTCTGGCGGGCAAGAACACATACTATGCTGTCCACCCAGCGGAAGTCATGGCGAGAGCTGCTGTCTCGCAAAGGCCTCTGACCCCCGAGCACATTGTCACGGCTATGCCGGCTCGTATCTCTAAGATGCCGGAGCCTCAATCTGGCAGTGCGCGTGGCAGCTCCGACGCCACAGGGCTTTTCGAGCTTTGAAAGCCTCGCCGCTACAGAAGCTTTTGAAGCGAGTCCCAGCATAAGCAGCACTTCTGCAAACTGAACACAATGTCGACCCACTGTAGTCCTGGACACATGAGTTGCTTTGGCTTATGTCTGAGGACATGGCCTGTAGACAGGATTCTTAACCTTGGCAGCCGCAGTCGGCGGGAAGTCGTAGCACAGTCCTGCCCTGCGCGCGGCCGCGGAAGATCCAATAAACCTGGAGCTTCGCACAGATCAGACAAAAGTCCCAAGCACGCTTGGCATCTCGCTTCGCGTTCTGACTTGGGAAAACAGCCCGAGGTCCATCTAGTTGTTTTCTTGCGACTCTGCTTGTGTGTGTGTGTGTAGCCGTTTAGTCCAAGTAAGACGCAGTCAACCACTCATGGCCTTCTCACGCTCCTTCGGAAGCGCCGCCTCGTCAGAACCTATGAACATCGGCAGTTCCAGCGATTCGGAGTCCGCAGAGAAGAATGCTCCAGCTTCATCCGAGCCAGTCAACATCAACAGTGCTGAGTCCTTGGAGCAGAACACAGCCCCGGCCACAGCTGCAGGTTCGACGACTGCATTGGAGGTGGCTGCCTCGAGAATGAAAGGTGGACTCAGAGAGTTATGGCTGGCTAGTGACGGCTGCGGTGTGTGCACAGGGTCAAATCAGCTGCCATGCTGCTTTGGCTCAGACGGCAATCCCGCGAAAGCCGAGCCGGGGGCGGTCGCTGTGACCTTTGCTGCGCAGCAGCTCTTCAAGCTCTGGACGAGGATCCACGTGGTCAAGCTCGCATCACCTACTTCCTCAAGAACCTCAGCGGCAAACCCCTCCTCCATGGATACGCACGCATCGCCATGGTTCTGGGCGAAGAGGGGCGGAAGAAGTACAAACTTCGCAGCGATCGAGCTGTGCTGAGGGCAGCCCGCAAGACAGCCAAACTGGAGGAAGGCCACACAGTCAAGGGGAACCTAGCATGTAAGCGACCTCCTTGCACTACGGCAGATGTTGGTAGAAAGCACCCGACTATAGAGAAATGCCGCTCTTTTCCATTGAGACAGATGACGCAGAAGATGTGCATGCAGAGCAACTGCAAATTTTGAAAAAAAAAAACTGCTTTCCTTTCCTCACGGTCACCAACAAGCCTGCGCAAGATCTCAACACCGCCAGAGTTGCCCTCGGATATCCGGACATTGCCCGACATCTCCGCGGCGGTGGTGGCATTCCCACCGAGACCGGAAAAATTCTCCTGTCTCCAGGGATGCACGTCCGCTTGACACACAACGTCAGCAAGGACGAGGGCTTTGTGAATGGAAATATCGGTCAAGTGCGGTTGGTCCTGCGAAGAGACGTCCGCATCTTGGAGACGCCTCAGCACACCTCTGTGCTGGTCTACCCCATCATGGTCAAAGGCCGAAAATACTTGCCAGCGACCTATGGGTACGCTACAACAATGAGGCGCGCTCAGGGAGCTACCTTGGAAGACGTGGCTCTGCACTTCGATCGCCGAGTACCCGATCGTGGCTACGCCTACGTCGGAGTATCTCGCGTGAAGACACGAAGCAACGTCTTCCTTCTCGGAAAGATTCGCCGGTCGGATTGGCTGCCAGTGGGAAACCCCGTTGATGGCGAGCAAACGTGGCCCTCTGCCCTCTCCGAGTCCACAGACAACGAAGAACCATAGTCGTCCGACATGGAGAGCAGCAGTGAGCAAGGTCCCGATTCCGACGACGACGAACACTTGGATGAAAGCAATGACCAAGATCCCAGTTCCCAAGACTTCGGAGCCTTCGATGAGACCCACGAGCCCTCCTCCGGCGAGTTCGTCTTCGGAGCCTAAGCTTGCCAGTGATTCTCTCGTCCGAGTGACTTCGTCTTCCGAGCCGAGCGCAGTGATCTAAAAAAAGAATGCTTTGAGACCTCAGCTGCGCGAGCATTTCTGTTGTAGCAGCTTCACGCAAACGTCCCGCCATATCCCCTACCCACCCTTGATCATCTTTCTCATGCCTACTAATCTGCTTTCGTTAGCGCTAACAGTGGCAAGCCATGACTGTGTCTGCTTCCAAACCATATCCCCTACGGGGGGCAAGTGGCACTTTGCCCGCGAATCTGCTTGAGAACAGGGGCAAAATGGCACTTTGCCCGCGAATCTGCTTGAGAACGGGGGGCAAGTGGCACTTTGCCCGCGAATCTGCTTGAGAACGGGGGCGACGGGGGCAAAATGGCACTTTGCCCGCGAATCTGCTTGAGAACGGGGGGCAAGTGGCACTTTGCCCGCGAATCTGCTTGAGAACGGGAGGCAAGTGGCACTTTGCCCGCGAATCTGCTTGAGAACGGGGGTAACGGAGGCAAAATGGCACTTTGCCCGCGAATCTGCTTGAGAACGGGGGGGCAAGTGGCACTTTGCCCGCGAATCTGCTTAGGAACGGGGGGGGGCGAAATGGCACTTTGCCCGCGAATGTATATTAGGGTTTATATACATATGATAGAGAGGTTTAGGGTTTAGGGCTTCTAGAAAAGTTTTTCTGGAGTTTCTTTTGGGGGGTTTAGGATTCAGGAATGAAGCTTTTGGGTGTGGACTTTAGGGTTTACGGCCTAGTCTTCAGGGGCTTCGGATGGATGTCAAGCCCTTTAGAACTCCTTGGGATTTGAAGCCCTCCATTTTCAGCTGTTTAGGGTTCGGGGGTTGTTGGGGGTGATAAAGAGGAGTGGCTAAAGGAAGGTTTAGGGTCTAGGTGTTTGCTCTTGGTCGGCAATTCTGCCATTACCAGGGAAAGCCAGCCATCCCACAAGTATCCCTCTTACGCCTATGACGGTTTACATAGCTACATTCAGTTCCGGAACAAAAGTACCCAGAAGAGACTGCCCATTTGGACAAGAGGCTCGAAGACGGCGTCTCAGCGCACACAGCGCCAAGGGTTGCGAGAAGCAGATGCCGGAACAAGCCACCCATCAGAGCTCTCGATTCAGATTCATGGCCCCAGCGCTTGTTTTCTTGGGGATGGGGGTTTAGGGCCTAGCGGGTTGACTTTTGCCGTAGAGCTCGTGTTTCAGCAGCTATGTTCCTCGGCGACCGAATCCAAGAGTCGTTGAAGTGCAAAGAGAAGTGATGCTTGCCTGATGGAGGAGGCTGCGGGTAACAAGTCGGAACTATGATCGTCATTTGATGAGATGACTATCTTTATAGGTCCATTGGCCATCTGCCCTACAGCAGCTGGTGTGTCGATCCGAAAGAAATTGCAGGAAAGGAATTAGGACGCAGTTAGCATCAGCAAGGTCGACGAATCGCAGCAAACCTCACCACCATAGACCCAGTTCGCAGACCCTTTTTTCCCAGGCATAGCCTCATCTGTAATGTGAGCCGCCGTCCGTGTTGGCACAGCTGCTTTCAAGAGGAGGATCCCGAAACCCCAAACCCTAAACCCTAAACCCCAAACCCTAAACCCTAAACCCTAAACCCCAAACCCCAAACCCTAAACCGCAATATCCGGGCAGGCTTCAGGCTTCCCACTTCGGAGGACGGTTACAGACATCTGGCATCGGTGGTCGATGCATCCATGCTGCCACCAGTATTTGTATTGTAAACCTTGTCGAAGCTACCTCAGCTTGCACCCAGAGACGAACAAATATCCCTTAATTAAGGATATATACCTTAAATGATAGTAGGGGTTTAGGGTTTAGGGTTTAGGGTTTAGGGTTTGGGTTCGGGGGTTTTGGGTTTGGGGATCCCCTATATTCCTTGATTAAGGGGTATTGGAGTCTCTAGGCAAAACAAGATTTGAGCGTTGGTCTTTGCACACTGAGCGCCTCTAAAAAAAACAGGCAAGTTTAGGGTTTATGTTGGGATGAAGGTTGCCAAGGCAGGACACGCGGACCCTCGTCGTCAAGGAAGAGGAGGACACCGCTTGTGGGCTTTGGCATTTTTAACGGGCCCTTTTCGAACTGCAGAACAGCTAGAAGTCCTTTTGGGTTGAGGGTTCAGGGGATTAGGGTTTAGGGTTTAAGTTTGCGGTTTTAGGGTTTGGGATTTAGGTTTCCGGGTTTAGGGTTTGGGGTTTAGGGTTCATGGGGTTCAGGGTTTAGGACTTAACTTTCAAGGAATCTGGCTCCTAGGCTGTGCAACCTCATCGAAGTGCTGCAACTTAACATCTGCGAGAACTCATCCGGCGCTCGCCGATTTCTCCCTCAACCTAATTTCCTAAACCCTAAACCCGAAACCCTAAATCTGAAACCGAAACCCTACACCCGAAACCCTAAAACCCCAAACCCTAAACCCTCAACCCGAAGCCTAAAACCCCAAACCTGGGCCCCCCTGGTTTCGAGGCTACGGGCTTTTTGCAGTAAAGGCCCTACGACGCCAAGGATCCTTAAGCCGTAGATCCTGAGCCTCGAGTTCCCGAGGATCCCATCAAGCAACTCCTGAAGAAAAACCCTCAACATCCCAAAACCCCGCTACAACCCTAAGGATCCCTAAACCGGTACATCCTGAGCGCCTAATTCCCAAGCATCCCTTGAAGAATCTCTTTATAGTAAGCTTTGAAACATCCTAAACCCCGCCCCCCCAAAAAAATTAGGATCCTCATCAGCTTCGGTGCATTCTGCCCCCAGCCATCGCGCGAGGCGTGTGAACTCCGGCGCAGAGAAGTTCTCCAAGGGCAGCTGGAAAGCAGGAAGGCCTCCAGAACAGTCTCTAATGCCTTATAAGACGGCCTGAGGGTTCCAGAAGACATTTTGGTTGTTAAGGGTTCAGTGAGTGACGGTTTTTGCTAATATTTCGCGTTGAGACCTAGGTTTCCAAGCCCCCAACCAATGAGACCCCCCAAGAGCCTCCACCCGTTCCCAATCACACCTCGGCATCATGCGTCATAACTAGGGTTTAGGGTTTAGGGTTTTCGGTTTGTCACATATCATAGTGCCGCATATTGATGCTTTGTCGCACGTAGTGCGAAGAGCGACAGAACATTTGGAGGCGCCAAAGGTGTCACGCTCGTGAACCCACTATAGGGGCAAAAATGAGAAGAAGAGCAGACGATCATTTCGGGATTCATCGTACGATAGTCCAGTATACGTAAGGACTATAAAGGTATACCATTACTATGTATTCCGACCTCTACATGGGGGTTTCCTAAAATAGGGGACCCTAATATAGTACCCAAATAGTAGGATCCAAATTATAAGGACCCCCAAATAAGGTACCCCCTATTTTCGGAAACTCCCACATTGCCAGCAACATCCTCAATCGAAAACTCTGCCAGGGATCTTGCCTTCTGCCTCCGCTCACTATGAAGATGCTAAGGAACACCCACTAAACCCTAAACCCTAAACCCTAAACCCTAAACCCTAGACCCTAAACCCTAAACCCTAAACCAAACCAGAGCAGCCTTCTAGGAGCCTGGACACTGAAAACGTTGGGACCCAAGGCACTTCACATCGACGGCTTCGAACTTACGACAGCTAAGACTCAAGAGAGTGTGGGCCACAAACACCGCCCATCTCCAGGAGCGTGTATTCCTAAACCCTGAAGCCCTAAACCCTAAACCCCAAAGCCCTAAACCCTAAACTCTAAACGTATTCCTTTGGAAACCGAGAGTTTCATCAGAGGTTCTTTGCAGAAGCCCTGCATGGCCATAGCTGCAAGGGACCTGAATGCGCCACCAAGGCCGCCGCCTTGTCAGTGATGGTCGACAGGGCCTGGATCCCAGGGTTTAGGGTTTAGGGTTTAGAGTTCGGCTCTGGGGGTCTTGGGCTTAGGGTTCAGGGTGTTTCCTCGTCCAGAAACCCTCTAACTCTATGCTGGATCCTGATTCTGCAAGCCCTGAACCATAAACCCTAAACCCCCGAAACCCTAAACCCTAAACCCGGAACCCTAAACTCTAAACCCCCCTAAACCCCTAAACTCTAAACCCTAAACCCCGAACCTTAAACTCTAAGCTTTAAACCCTACACCAACAGCTGCAGCACCTGTGCGCCAGGCTTGCGTTGCTTGCGCTTGAAGAAGTCCGAATGGCTCTGAGCTTCCTGTGGCGAGTGGAGTATTAGGGTGTAGGGTTTAGGGTTCGGAGCTTAGGGTTTAAAGTCTAGGGTTTAGGGCGTAGCGTTTTGGGCTTAGGGTTTAGGGTTTAGCGTTCCTCTGGCGAATGTAGTAGAATGTAGTCTATAGTACAGTATATCACCGTATACTTGAGCACACTATGGTATATGATATGTTATAGTACATTTTAGTACATTGTACTAAATGACATACTACAGCACATTCTAGTACGTTATAGTATATGATATATCAGAGTTCATTCCAGTACATTGTAGATATCTTTGGAGTCTCGGATTTCTCTGACCAGAGTTTGAGGATCAAAAGGATTCGGGCTCCCAAGCCTGAAAATCTTGCCCGTCGACATTTGCTGAGTGCTTAGGGCTGAGTGTGTAAAGCTTTTTGCGGCCCTTTCTAGGAGGAATAGGACCCCAAAAAAAACACATAAGCAAAAACTAGGATAGGAATATCCCATGTAAATCCCCTTATAATGAAGCCCAACAAGGTAAGGATATCCCTACAACATGCTTATGTTTACGTCCTTTTTGGGAATTGGGTTTGGGGCCGTTTGTAGCGGAGGATGCACTTGACTGGGTTGCTGCTCAGGAACTGAAATCAAGTTACGATAATAAGGAGGAAACCCCACTGTTTGCTGTAGGTCCCAATTATGGTAACGTAAAATAGGTTACTATATATCCCAATTATGGTAACTTAAATTAGGTTGCTATCTATCCCAGCTATGGTACCTGAAAGTAGGTTCCTTAACAGCAACCCGCTCAACCTTGCAGGTTTCACTTCAATGCAGCGGCGCCTAAGGTTCGGGATTCAACAAGAAATCCCTAAACCCTAAACCCTGAACCCTAAAGGACACCGGAAAAGAACCTTTAAAGGACACCTTAAAGGAACCTTTAAAGGGCCTACATGACCCCCTACTCATGATGGTGAGTGTCTTAGGGTTTAAGGTTTAGGGTTTATGTTTGAGGTTTTCGGTGTTAGGGTTTAGGGTTTAGGGAACAATACTGCTCTTGCTTCTGCCGTCACGCCTCTCTTTCCCCTGGACCTTGTGGCAAATGCTGCTCTGGCCGATCACGATCACAGACCATGTCCCTCCTATCCTTCCTACCATCTTGGCGAGGGCAAAAACTTCTTGGGCCGAGCGTCCAGATCCAGTCGAAAGTTGAAGATCAGCCGGCTGCAAGGGAGGGATCTGCAGGTCGGCAAGACTATCGAGTTTTGTCTTCGGGTATGCAGTACTTGGGATTCACAGTGTGAGAAGCAGGATTGGGAGCAAAGGAATCGGCACCTGCGGATGAATTGCACCATGGTCTCATTCCATCTGATCTCCTTGAAGCCACGCACCTCCACCCTCTTCCAATCGTTCTGGAAGGTGGGTGGGGTAAGCCACTCCCACACGACGTCCTGCAAGAAACCCAACATGCCGAATTCGACCCTGCGCTAAATTCTGAGCCTGCCGCTATAAGCCGTCCTGGGAGTTCTGCAACAGCTCGACGTGCCGCGCGTCCGAGGAGCCCTGCGCCTGCGCCGCCTCCAGGAATCTCTCCTGCATGCCGGCAATGCCTCCCAAGGCGCCATGGTTCTCTCCCCAGAGGAAGATGCCAGGAACCTCGGATGTCCGCAGAAGTTCCCAGAAACCGTCTAGAGTCTAAACCGTGAACACTAGCACTCTTGAGTGTCGGGATGTAATCGCTGAGGCTACGAGTAGAAACGAAACTGCGAAACTAGTGCAGACCCTTTGTATGACCCTGACCTCTATCATACGGCAATGATAGAACAAACTTACACACAGAAGGGTAAGCTCGAATCCCGAATCCTAAAAGCTAAGCAACACATTCAAGTACGATGACAAAGCAGATTTGCAACTTGATAGGCCTAGCAATGCGTTGCGGCTTGATAGCTCAGGATGCAGTCGAAAGTCTAGAACCCGGAGGAAACCCGGGCCCTATGACCATAATGCAGTGGGGTTCATATAAAAATACCCTAAACAAGATCCACGGTTTCTCAATCAGGGTCCCATATATGTCCTATATTATCCATGAATCGGCTATGTCGTAGATGCAGTCTAGAAACTTGGTTCACCATATTCATCAACGTTGACGAACCCGATCTGCCGGTGGCCACGATGAACAGAAATTTGCGAGCGCACCTTGGCTTTGAAGGCTCTCAGAGGAGAGGATGAACTGAAGAATCCTTGGGTTAACTGGCAAAGGCCCCAGACAGAGGTAGATCCGCAAGACTCCTGAAGTTAACTAGTTCATGCGGTGCAGGGCACCAGGATTTCAGGTATCTCGGGTCCAATTGAAATCTTGGAAATTAGGACTTGGCACGACGAAGCCATCTAAATCCCAAAACCCTCAACCCTAGACTCCAAGCCCTAACCCCTAAACCCTAAACCCTAAGCCCAAACCCCTGAACCCTAAACCCAAGCCCCAACCCCTAAGCCCTAAGCCCTAAACCCTAAACCCTAAACCTTAAACCAAACCCTAAACCTTAAGACCAAACCCTAAACCCTAAACCCTAAACCCAAACCCTAAACCCTAAGCCCTAAACCTTAAACCCTAAACCCTAGACCCTAAACCCGAAGCCTAAACCCTAAACCCCAAACCAAACCCTAAACCC